TTTTTAACCGGGCTAGGAGTCACATTCACGCCTTCTGATCCCCAAAAAATAGACTGCAAAACCAGCACAGCCTGTTTGGCTGCCTCCTGAGAGGAGTGGAAGGGTAGCACAGTGAAAGGAGTGGCTAAGGGACCATCATGGATCCTTACATATTCAATGCACTGCACTTCAGACACCACAGCGAGTTCAGATAAGAGCAGTGGCAGACTAACACCCATATAGAAAGATACTGGCTAGTGTATTACTCTGTCAGGCCAAAAAATGCAGATCTGTTTTTCTGACACTAAGAACTGTTCTGAAAATGCACAGAACTGCACATACTGTCACTCACATATTCTAAGTTTAGCCCATCTCATTACATTTATGATGCCACATAAGTGAGGGAACAGATTAGACCTGAGATCAAGTAGTCTTAGTGACTGAGAAGTCACAGAACCAGATCACGGTTCCTGTTCCGTTACCACCTTCAGATTTCAACGCTAACAGTGTTGTTATGTCTTTTCCTTCCCCAAGTCAGCAGCTCAAAGACCAGAAGATTCAACTTTTACCAAAAGGGAAACGGCTTTTCAAGTCATGCATCCAGCTCTTCACTGTCTGAAGTCAGACCTGCAAAATCAAGTCAAGTCTAGTTTTATTCTTACAGACTCAGAGAAGATTGAGCAATTTACCTGAAAGAAGAGGTGGTTTGTATGCCCTTCCCGCATCTAGTTTCCTCCTCAAATCTACAGCTGGCTGTTCCTCCCATTTGTCTCTACAAGGTCCGTGAAAGAAACTGAAGTCTAAAGTCCCGTTCCTGATTTAGTATTATTCATACACTGCTCATGTTTATGAATTGGTCGATCAGCACTTAAACAAGTCTCGGATACGCATTGACTTTGTAACGGATAAGTGTTCCTCATCAAGATCAAGTTCCATGACCTGGAAGCTGAGCTTCATGTTCCAGAGTAGCCCCAGGCAGAGTGCAGTTCTGCTTCCATCACCCTCAGGTAGAAGTTCCTGCCAGCACCTGGTGTCCAGCTCACCCTGACAAATGCAGCAGTGCACCTCTGTATCCTCACCAGCTGTTCCTCAGAAAAGAATGGTGACGTCACAGCTGACACCTTGGATGTAGCTGAAAGTTAGTTGGGGTTTTTTTTTTTTTTTTTTGAGGTGGAGCATCAAAGGAAGACCTGCAGCTTCTTCAGGAAGGCTTAAAAAGTGGTTTGTATACTACACGCAAGGCTGGTAAGAGAAAGGGACTCTTCTGGAAGGAGGTGGATGACCGCACAACAGAGATGTTGCCTCAAGTTTTTGTTTGTTTTGGTTTTTTTCCCAACTTGTTTTACATCTTGTGGGTTTATCACTTATATCAGTATTTGGCATTGTCTTGTGCAAAAGGAAAAAAAAATTATGGCGGTGGAATCAGAATTTTATTTTTATTTTTTAAATTATATACTTCGTAATGATTTTTGGACAGTCCACGTGTCATTAAAAAATTGAACAACATCCTAAAATCCCAGAAATTTTACTGCACAGATGGAAGCTGCTGTCTCTGAGTATTACAATCAAAACATGAATTTAAAGTGGTACAGACAGCAGTGAAATAAAGAAGTAGTTTGAGTCCAGGCAAGTGCTTTTATGTCCATTTTTTTCCCCCAGAAGATATGAAATTTTTAACAAAAAGTTTGAAATGGGAGCCTCAGTTTAGTATTTAAAAAAACAAAACAAGATAAAAACAGGCTCTCCAAGTGGCCGTGGAGTTGATTCTCTGTATTTTGTGCTTTTTAGGACCCAGTGTAATATTGATGGTATATTAACAACCCTTTAGACAATGAGTGGGAAAATTCAGTTACACTGAAAATGGCGATTGATCAGCTCCTAAGTGTGAGGAAAATAATCCATGTGTTGCTTTTCACCAGCAAAACATCTGGTCCTAATTGAGTTGTGCTGAAAACGTGTAGGTGGTCAACATTGTTACTCTCTTTTTTCTTTTTTTTTTTCTTTCTTTCTTTCTAAATTAATATCAGTATTAACCGCTGTAGGAACATTGAGTCTGACATTGAGTATTTAATCCTGTTTTGATTGATAAGAACAGGAATTGATTCAGGCTTAATGTAAAACCTACACGTTTACTTATCAACAAAGTATACTTTGTAAATACTGTATGATAATTGATGTGATTTCTTTTTAGTACACCGTGTAGGTTTTTTTTGTTTGTTTTTGTTCACACATGGGTAAGTGTGAAGTTTTTTTTTTTTCCCTTTGGTTCATAAAACTTTTGAACAAATTTGTGAATATGTTTAAAAAAAAAAAAAAAAAGTAGAATTTGATTGTATGCAGTGATCTCAGTGTGGCTATATCGGAGAAATGTCAGTTAGCGCTGTTTCCAAGTGCAGCCTGAACACAGTCGCACAGGTTGTCAAACCCAATTTTGGCTCGATGCTCAGACTCCATTGGTCCAAAAAGGAAAAATAAGTTGTTTAAATTTTTCCCCTTAGGTTTTGTGCCACATTTTCCTGTTTTGTGCTCTCTGATTGGTTCCTGCTGGTCTCGTATATATTCAGTGACAAATCAGACCAATGTGGCTAAAACCTTGCCTCCTGACCAATCATTTCGACAAATCACGTGTGACCCTGGATCATATATATATATATATATATATTTTAGATGTGTTCGTTGTTGACCTTTGATTTCAGCATATGTTTTGTAATGACAAAGATCTCAACATGTTTCCTTTCTTTCCCCCCTCCCTTCATTTACCTTAATCCCCTATCCTCCTTACTGCCCCCCTCTCCCCTCACTCCTTAAACCCTCCTCCCACATGCCGCCAGACTTCTCGTCCTTCAGCTTGCAAGGCTGCTGCATTGCAGGAGCACACGGAGGGATAAGTGGGCGAAACTCCTCCAGATGCCTGCCGGAGAGAGTGAATTGTGAGCACTCAGTCTCTGTTTGACCCGCCTGAGTTGAAGCCATACAGCTCGTAAAACACAGGGGAGCATCGCATAATGAAAAGTTGAAAATGTTGAAATGCTGCTAATGGGATTTGCTGCTAGCCCTTATTTAAAATGGTTTTGTGTGCAACATCGTACCTGTTCCAGTTTTTAAAAACAAAGCTCTCGAGTCATGTTTGCCTTGTGCTGTGGGGTTCTGCGTGTCCAGATGCATTTGCATAGTTGTTTGCTGATAAGACTTTTCATATTTGGTTAGGTTGGATTTGTTTTTTTTCAATTCCTTTCTCTCCACCGATTAGAAATGTTTTAGCTTTTGTTTGTTATACTGGCAGGCTGCTTCAGAGTTGAATTGGCATTGAATAAAATGTCTGGACATGCAGAACATAGTGACCTAAAACTCACCAACACTTTTTTTTTTCTTTCTATTTTTAAGTATAAAGTTTGTAGGTTTGTGTTCACATGCTAAGCAGTGACTCTTCTGAAATGATGTGTTTTGTTTTGTTGTGTTTTGTTTTTTAATTTAATGCAGGCTTGTCTTGTATACATCTGATGTCTCAGATTTTCAGCACTGAAACAGCCCAGGATGTTTGTCTTTACATAGAAAAATCATCCAGATAACTAATGTACACATTTTCATTTAATACCCCACCCCTCCCAATTTTTGTGTATTTTGCTCCTATGTTGGTGTATACCTCCATCAGTCTTTGTAACTGCTTTTTTGACCCTTGAAGAACTCCCATCTCCCTCTTTCCCTCCACCTTTGTTCATTTTTTTAAAACTAGTTTTTCGTAGAATCTTCTCACTTTCTCTTCTTCACCCCTCCCTGCATGATGTTTCAACCTCTCTCCTCTCCCCCGACTCTCTAACCAGTATTTCTCTTTTGTCATTCTTACCCTTTTTTTCCTCTTATGTTGGGTATGTTTGTGACTGCCGTGTGCAACTCTCACTAGTAAGTATTGTATCCTGTCTGCAGTGCTTTTAATAGTTTGTGTTGCAGCACTTTAACTGAAGCTGAAGGTCTATCTGCAATGCGCCCTCCCTATCCCTCATTCCCATGGCTACATAGATCTCATAGGATAAACTGCCATTTTGTAAATATTGTGTACATATCTTTTGGAAAGACATCTAATAAAAAAAAAAAAATAGTACAGAGAGCACATACTGTCTTGTGTTTTTATTGGAGTTGATTGATTGAAATCTAGCAGTTCAGTGGAGCACAGAGTTGGTTGCAAACAGTTTATTATGAAGATGTTGAATGATGGCATCTGTGATAAAGCAGATCAGCTAGCTGACTAAGCATGATGGTTTAATGTTCATTCATATGGTGATAGTTTTTACTTTAACCAATGCAGATTAAACAGCCTTGAGAGCAGCTGGAAAGAAAAGTTAGTGTGGAAGGTTAAAGATGTAGAAAGTGCAGCAGGAAAAAAAATCATTTTGTCATGCAAACAGCAGAAGGCATATAATGGCAAAGGACAGTTCAGTTTAAAAATAGCAAGAAAACTGGCATACGAAAAAGACTAAACGCTAAAAGAAATACTACTAAGAAGAAAAAAGGCAGAAGCAGAGCAGCAAAACGGTACAGAAGAAATTCACACGAGGAAACAAACGTGGAGTAAAGAAGTTGCATAAAACACTGAAAAGACTTAATAAGAAAAGATTAAAATGCATTGCTGATCTCACACATGAGGTGAAACTTACAAAGGAAATGAAATAAAGGCCAATAATCTGGAAGTTTAGAGAGTGCAGAAAATAGAAAACAGGCCCAGGACGGTTTTCATACATGTAGAGCATGAATACTGGCACTGAGTGTTAGAAGGAGGAGGGAAAAATACGAGAATGATGCAACTAAACAGTAAGCAGTGAAATCACACAAAGAAAATAAAAGAAGGGTTTGTTTGGGTTTTTTCTATAGCATTGCCGATGTAATGCCTGATGGTATCAATCCAGACTCATTCCAGCTACATGTGTGATTTTCACTTTACAATGTGTGTAGGTCATGTTGCCACAGAAGAAAAACCAGAAACCCAGGGAGTGAGGAGAAGCAGAATAAATAAAGAACAGAAGAGATAGAGGAGAAAAAAGTCTGATTTATTCAGAGGTAAACATCAAACAAAGCAGAAAAGAGTGAAACAAAGCCAAGAAGAACTAACCGATACAAGAAAAGAAGTCATTTAGCAGTAATGAAGGAGAAAAGAGGGAGAAAATACAGGACAGTGACCCTCCGGTCATCAAAGCTCAAGCAAGGCAGCGAGGAGTGAAGCCAGAAAACAGAAACTACACTGTGTTAGGATTCATGAACAGAAAGGTAGGAAAGGACTCAAGAAACTGCAATCAAGGATTAAATATAACGGCTGTATGAAAAGCTAAACATGTAGATTTAGAGGTAGATTGTTAGAAATAAAAATAAGTCCAGCTGATAAACATTATTTCTGTGTTTTTAGTTGCAATATCAGTGTCGCAGCCAAATCTCTCTCTTGATGTTGAAACTCACAGACATTCCCACTCACACTCACACACGCACACACACACTCAGTAGATAAATGCCAACAAAAATAAATCATTTAAAATTGTACAAAATGTTTTTTGCACAGTTTGACCCCTGAAAAAAAATCCCAAATTATTAAACACAAGAATCTCACAGTATTTTTTAACCACCTATCCATTCTTAAAAAAAAGAAAAAGCAAAGCATTAAAAGGTTTCAAGCGACAGCGTCTCCTACGTATTCTCCAGCAGAGCGGATGGTAAGTGGGTCCTACAGTATTTTAACCTTCAGTCTGTTTAGTCTCCCGAGGAGAGGTTGTGATGGAGACAGGAGGTGACACCACGTGTGCCACATTTCCGAGGTTGTTTTTAAGGATTATTGTAATCTGCCCTGCAGTGTCCCAAAGTTCAACAGAGATGCCCGACGACCCCGCCCTTCACCGGGCCTCAGTAGGGGGTGAAGCGGTTGTATCCTCCTCTGTACAAACTGGCCTGTCGACAGTAGTAGGGTGAAAGGTGCAAGTTAACCACCGTGATGTATTTTTCAGATTAAGGTTTGTTTACTCTGATAGCTGCTCACCATTGTACCGACCCCATATGTTGTTGGTCCGACTGAGTGGTGATAGGCCTCTGGAGCGTAAACCCGTCCATATCTGTTTAAAAAAAAAAAAAAAAAAGCAGAAGCAGATACATCATAATATCACGACTCCAATTAAACTGCCAATTCTTTATGATTAATGAAAGCCAACTGAAGTCAGGCATGTATGTGAATTTTTTACATTATGTGAATATTCTGCCATGATTAATGTGAGCATCCAGCACTGTAATACGTTATGTGATGGAAACCAATCAAAAGCACATTTGGTACTGAATAATATCTGAAGTATCTTACAAAAACAGTACTTTGGGTGTTATTATGATATTGTTATCCTTGGAAGAGCCACACATCCCTTTGAGGTTGTGTTTGGAAGGCCATCCGGCATAAAAATCTGCCAAAACAAACATGTGGATCTGCCCACTGTGGCGACCCCTTGTGACTAAGGGAGCAGTTGAAAGCTTCTTCTTCTACTAGCAGTTTGTGTGTTATTGGTTAATTTAAAGCTGCTTAACAAGGCCCATAAAATCCTTGAGATAAAAACAAGAACGTAATCTCAGGTGGGACCTTTGAGCTACACAGGAACAAAAAAAAAAGAGTTTTTTTAGTTTACATACTGTGTCCACTCACAGTAAATGTTACAAGATAAATTCCTGACTGTTTGAGAAAATCCAGATCTTTACTTCCTGGCACAAGGCAGAATATTTTCAAAAGCTGTGTTTATCTTGATAAAAGTTACAAAAGCCAAGTTTGAGTTCAAAGGGTGAGCTCTGTGTAGGTAGGAAGACATTTTCATGGGAATAGCCGAAATGCTCCAAATAAGTTTTGTGTGTCTGCTCAGGTAAAAGCGGTATATACTATTAGGCACACAGCTGCTCAGTGGTACTGCTGAAGCTCAAACAGAGCATCAGAATGAGCAAGAACATTCATCTTTGTGTGCATTGTTTGTCTGTTTACCCATCACTGTAGGTCGCTGTGGCAGCAGATGCTGACTGAGCCACTCTGTATGCTGCAGGGTATCCGCCCTGCATGGGAAAGATGAAGCAACAATAAAGCAGCAGCGACTGATTGACTGATTAAAAAAGTAAAGATATAAGAAGAGTTCAGCTGCGTACATAGACTTCTGCTCCATACAGTCCATCCTGATACACAACCCTGAAAAAAAAGAATAAAACATTATCAAAATGAAAGTAATTGGATATAAAGCCGACACCGGTGCTCAGAGTCTTACCCAGGGTAGGTGGGGACAGCAGCAGGTGTGGTTGCAGTGGAGCGAATTGTGTTGTAGACAGCTCGACCCCGACCACGCAGCGCTGAACCGCGGTAGGCCAGCGTAGGAGTCGCTACAGGGTACGGAAAACTGGCAACTAAAATAGAGGAGAGGAAAAAAAGCAGCAGGAGGAGTGAAATGGCAGTGCTGATCATCTCTTCAGAGCAATATGTCAGCATGAAAGACGGAAACGTTTAGTTACCTGTATAGAGCTCAGGTGCGTACATGGCCCCCATGACCGGGTTGATCTTCCAACCGGAAGCTGCTGAAACAAGGCCTCTATTAAAAACAAGCTCCAAAGATTAGTCAGGACCCAAATATTAATGAGAAGTTTCTTACTTGAGATTTCACCGTTCACGAGAGGCGTTTGGGGTTTCTTGGTAACTACTCGTGCAGTGGCATTATTAACCTGGGGATAAAATAATAAGGATAATCACAGAACAGTTAAACCTACAACACAAAAGCTGCGTGATTTCCAGCCACGTGATCAATAAATATCACTTAGGTATAATATCCAAGGGAAGTTACAGGGTCATAAATACATTTATAGTGAGGTGGCCATTTTTTTTCTCTCTCCCACTGCTGTCACTCATTCAGGGAGACTCTGCCTTCACTGTACAAGGCTCCCATGTCCCTGAAATTGGTGGCCGGAAGAAAAAGATCCCAATTCCATTTTTTAAATTATATTTTATTAATGTTATTTATTATTTTTAAGGATTTTTTTCCCTCTAATTATTCCTTAATTTTTCACTAGTTTAAGAGCCGTTTTATAGCTTCCCCTCCCCATTATATGTTGTATGGGGGAAATAAAAGAAAAGTACTTCAGTTTACCGTGTATTATATTTTTGTTCCTGAACATATTTTTATGTTTTATTGAGTATATTATATTGGGTAAAACAAAACTGCACGTTTGTTTTCTAGTTTTAAAAAAGAAATGGGGAAATCTCGCTTTACCTCGATCTTCCTCCCTTCCACGATTGTCCCATTCAGCTTTTCTCTCGCTCTGTCAGCCTCAGTAGCATTCTCGAAAGTGACGAATCCAAAGCCCTGTGTGTTTGCACAGTTATATGTTTACTGATGAATGATTCCCACGTTGGTTTAAAAGCACTGATCATATTTCTGAGCTGCTCACCTTTGACCCCCTCTCATTGAAGATAATCTCTACATCGAGGATCTTGCCAAATTGCTGAAAGTGTCAGAGCAATTTTTACAGAGTGGAAATTGTTGGATTCAATATGAAAACATGGGCTCTGTGTATGTGTGAAGCTCAGAAACGAGGTGACTGTCATACCCCAAACATCTGGCGGAGGTCTGGGTCTCTAAAGCGAAAGGGGATGTTCGAGACGTGGAGGCGTTTCGGTTGGGTTTTACCTGACCCCTCTTCCTCGCTACCGCTTCCTGCCCCGCCCCCCGATGACACCGACACACTGAGAGACTGGGGGTCAGAGGTCACGGGGACCAAAGAGTCCTCCTGACAGTGAGAAAGCACGAAACAGGACAAGGAGGCAGAGGAAGAGGAGGAGGCAAGCAAGTGGATAGAGGAAGAATGGACGGGAAGAACAAAAAAAGATGGAAAACAAAAGATGGAGAGGGTGTGAATGAGGTGGGACAGATGTGAAGAAAAATTGGGAGAGGGCATCAGTAGAAAAGCAAAGAAGGAAAAGAGAAAAACAAACAAACAACAAAGTAAATTCAACAAATTCAACGTGTTCCAGAGAATTTCATGTTCAGGTAAAAACTCCAGTTGCGTAAGCATCACATGGCATTAAAGCTCAAAGATCACTTTCATGAGATCAAGTGAACCAAACCAAGTTCAACCAGCATTCAGCAACCAGTGAACCTTCTCAAGCAAATGTAAGGAGGCGTGGAAGGGGCTCCAGTTTAGTGAGGCGTCGTTGAATACATGCCTGTAGAAGATTAGGACAGTGACGCTAACAATAAACGCCACATGTGTGGTATTAAAACTGCTCATTCCAGCCGTCGTGAAGAGTGAGAAGTTGTTTTAAGCTGTTTTCAGACTCTAACTCAAAGTTTCCCACAGTGGCTCTAACAACTACTTGTTTTACCTTAGCATTAAAGACATACCTGTGCTAGATTAACTTATATAAACTGCCCCATGCAGAAAAATTCAAGAACTAATGTGCCAAAACCAAAACATTCACTATCCCACAATGCACCACGATGCTAGTGTGTGTGCATGTATGTGCATATATATATGTGTGTGCAGATGTGTTGGCCAACCAGCATTGTTCAACCGTTGCAAGAAAAGTGGTTAAAAATATATAGATTTGAAAGAAAATCTGCAAAAAGGGCAACAAACTAAAACCAGTGAGCTTCAGCAGCAAGAAACAAAAGGAAGAGGAGGAGCAGGGAGCACAAAAATTAACGTGAAAAAGAAAAATTACTGGGAGATGTGCTACTCTAATGGAAATAAGATTACACTCCCAAGCCCTGAGTATTAGCAGTCTAGTACCACGAGGCAGATAAGGAGTGAAAAAGGCTTCAGTAAACAAGGCAAAGAAGGTGCACAGAAAGGGGACAGAAAGGGGACAGAGTTTAAAACTGAAGGGTCAGTCTGGGGTGGGGGGTCACGGTGCTGCTTTTTTGCCAAAGGTTAAAGGTCGTT